CTTGCCATGAAGAGAGACATACGTACGAAAACCCACGTAAAACGAGCCACTCAGCCAGGGTCCAGCTAGTATAACTATATATACGCACTCCGCAGCTGATCGACCGCGAGCGTCTACGTTATAACACGCTTGTTTGCCTTTCTACGCTTGCCATTTCTTAAACTTTTGTAATATCACATCGAAAATGTATATATGCGTTTTTCAACAGTTTTGTTGTCGATTCGTATAAATAAGAAATAACATTTACTTTGAAAAAATATCCCTGACTATACAAAATTGTACTACATAAAAATAATATTTTTATGGTTACTTCTTTACGATTACGAAAGCGTTTAACGCTATGCCTCCTTTTTAATCTCTTCTGGAATTTTGATGAATGTACGTACCACGCAATTGATGGAAATATTATATTTGTGATACATACGGAAATACAGGCAATATGGCAATAGGCAATACAAGTTAAAGTTACATCCACAACACGACACTTTGGTATTATCTTATAATACAAGATGTATGCTTTTACCTTATCCACTTTCCACTTATTATCAGCGATTCGCAAATATACACACATAAATTGAAATAAAAGATGAAATACGCGATTTAGGTACCTCGATGAGAGCAGACACTCTCGTCTCCTGCTACTACTCGCACGTGTATTCTTCTCTCTCCTCTAGAGATGGGCGATACTACTTGATACTTCGATACTGTATCGATACTTTTACATGTATGTATCGATACTTTTGGCGGTACTTCAAAATGATGATACTTCGATACTTGATAGTTTTCTTACTAAGTATCGAACAAAAATCGTAGACATTTATACACTTTTGAAAGTATATGAAAAGTATGTTTAGTAATTGCGCTTTGTCAGGTTGTCCCTAGAAATATATTGCGCATTGCGTTACATTCCCAACAAACAAAAGATGTCTTTTGGATATCGTAATTTTATCTTTGTGAGGATCTCTTTAAGAGACCGTAAAAAACATCCTAGAGACGTATTTAAGGGGGCTCCAGCATGCACCACCGAGGTCAAAAGAAAATTAGGAAAGGTTAGGTTAGTTCTATTTATTGTTTACGTGCTGGACATCATATATAGGTATAGCTGTATAATGGATAACTACGACTGTGACTAATGTTCTATTAAATATCTCGAATTTTTCCATGGTTACCTACGTTTTGCAAGGTACCATCAGAAAGCCAAGAGTTTTTTCTACAAAACAGTCACGGTCTTGATAGGTCACTCCTTGATTCATTTGATTATGGTTACAAAATAAAGATGCCTTAACGTTGTTCCATGAGAGGTTGTGTATAGTTTGCAAACTTCGATAGCAAACATCTCGAAAATTTCTATGGCTAGGGGGTAAATAAGGACACTGTTGGAATCGGCAAGTTTTCGTTTATCAAAAAAACTACCTCTGACCTCTTAACTCCTTCCTCTGGAACCCCCTTAAGATGTATTTAAGATGCACAACAAAAACTTATGATCCGTATATTTGTTTAATACTTGCCCTTGAAGACATACCATTGTAACTTTATTTGCAGATAGCAAACAAAACCAAACAAAACAAACCAAACAAAAGAAGTTTTGCGACATTTCTTGAAGATGTAAAGATGTTCAACAGAGAAAGTAAATAAATAATTATTTCATTGTATTCAAAAAGAGTAGAATTATAAACAACAGTGCCTATGGAAACAAACCTTGTTTTTTCTCTAAAAATGGTTTTAATAATAAGACTGTTAATTTTTTTATAACTTACTTCAAACAGTAAGGTATGAACAAAAATTAACAGTTTTATTATAAACAAAATAAAATGAAACGCAAAACCCTACAAATTATTCTCTTTTTAAGATATCTCTAATGACATCTTCTTATCTTAATCACCTCTTAAAGAGGTATTACAGACTTTCAAAAGAGCTCTTTAAGATGGTACTTGCTCAGCTTAAAATACAATTTTTTTGTCTCCTATATATATCATATCTTATATAATTATTTCCTTTTTCATTTTACTAGAATTTTTTGTACCCTTGTTTCTTGCTGATACTTCGATACCATTCGATGCTTCTTGTTAAGAATCGATACTTCGATACAAATAATGATGATAACAATAACACGAACAATAACAATAACAACAATAATAGTAGTAGCAACGTTAAAAAACAAAAGAAGAATTCGATATCCACGCTTAAGAACAAAAAGTCGAAAAACGAACGAGCAGATGAGCTCAAGTCGTTGGATGGAACAGATAGTACAACAGGCGGAAACAATGGAGAGAAAATAAAGAAGAGTCAGAGGCATTTTTCGCTCAATCTGAAGCAAACTCTTTGCAACATTTTTAGGTGTGTGAAAACAAATGTAAATCCAAACATAGATTATTCCATTTCAGACTGACATTTTTTCAAATTTTCAATCATAGGTTCAAAAAAATTGGTTCACCCGAACATCAAATAGTTACCAAGCGCAATAACGCAGTTCACCAGTCGGCCGACGTGATATTACAGGATGACGATGACTTGGTAGCAGATTACGAACAACATCCATCCCATCTACCAAACAACAACAACGGCAGTGCAATAAACGGTGACCTCGACTACTCCGAGACGGCAGCGACAGCACAGAAGCTGCCGTTCTTTAAGCGAGCTCTTCCACCTCTGCCCAAAAGCAATGGGCATGTAGACGGTGGTCTAGAGTCACAAAACGGAGATGGTGCACTCGCAAACGGTATAAACGGAGGAGCACCTTCCTGCGACTCATCGGCAAACTCGACACCTCAGACAAGAGGACAGCATCATGCCGCAGCAGCGGACAATAACGACGAGCAGCCGACAAACGAAGATACTAGCATGGATTTTGCTGCCAGTATTGAAAAAGTCAAAGATGTGAGTTTATGATGGATATTGCAATGAAGCTTCAACAATTTAACGAGTCTTAGAACGTATTTAGTAATCCTTGTAAATTTTTGCAGTATGGGTGGTACTGGGGCCCCATCAGCGGAGAGGCTGCAGAAAAGATTTTATCCAACGAACCAGATGGATCTTTTATAGTTCGAGATAGCAGTGACGATCATTACATATTTTCGTTATCGTTTAGGCTGAATAGTTGCGTGCGACACGTTAGAATAGAACATGATCAGGGTAACTGGGATTCTTTTTTAATTTAAAAGTTTCAATTTTTGAGAACTATCAATGTTTATTGGCTGTTTGTTTCCTTGTAGGTAATTTCAGTTTCGGAAGCTGCACAAAATTCAAGTCTCACACGATCGTGGATTTTATCGAAAACGCAGTGGAGCATTCGCGTAGTGGTCGCTACCTCTTCTTCCTGCATCGACGGCCTGTTCTGGGTCCTATGCGCGTCCAGCTGCTGCACCCGGTCTCACGCTTCAAGCAGGTTCAGAGTTTGCAGCACACCTGTCGATTCGTTATTCTAAAAATGGTGCGCAAGGATCTGATCCCGACGCTGCCGCTGCCCCGGCGCCTCATCGACTACCTGAGCGCGCCCCACTATTACAGCGAGCAGTTAGCCTGCGAGCAGGAGGAACGCGTCGAGTCGCCCGTGAGCTCTTCGACTGGCGAGCTGGAGNTACAAAATAAAAAAAAAAATCAACTGTCCGGCTGTTTCCCTTCTTAAGATATTACTTTTTGAAACAACAAAATCACTTTCAGCCCACTGTGCGTCGTATTAGTTTTGCAACGTATTTAAAACTTAAAGAGAAAATTTACTTTTTATATGTACTCCTATTTTCAGATGATGGCACTAATGGGGTCAGTGATTTTGACTCTGTCTTCACTCTTCCCTTGCTATATTTTGCCAAAAAAAAAGGGACAAATTAAAAGTATCTGGAAAGCTTCACTTGCCAGCTGCTGGGACATCTGATCAGTGGTGGAATCAAAAAATGAAAAAATAACAGGATATCAAGATTAAAGAAGAAAAAATAGAGAATAAGAAAAAAATTCAAGAACAAAAGAAAAAAATTCAGCAAGAAAAAAAGATATTCAATGATAAATTGAAGGAATTGCAAAAACAATCCAAGCTGGAAAGTTTGTATTTTAGTACTATAATATAGGGTGGTTCATTTTTCAGTATTATTGATAGTCAATTTTCGTTATCAATTACTTATAAGTGTTTAAAACTTCTAAAAGGTTTCTTTAATTCTAAGAATAACAATAAAATAATTGTATATTTTGATACTTGGAGCAATTTATTTGAAATTATTTATATTTCATCTTTTGGGACATTTTGTATCAAAGACTAGGACATGGCGTCTCAGTGCCGTTTCATACACTGGGACACTACTTTCATCGAACTTTTTCTATATTTAAAAAAATTCTTTACATATTTGTTACCGAAAAAAGTTTTTTTTTAATTTCTTTAGTCTTTTGCACAGGCAAAAAACTAAAAAAAAATAACCAACATTTTAAGCATTTGTATGCCTCAAAAAAATTATAAAATCCAAACCATCGTCATCGAGTGTTTCATAATTGGGTCATTTACCTTATTTCATCAATTTCTAACCATTAAGAAAAAGCAAGAAATGATTTAATTCAAAATTTGGTTCCTTATTTTCTCAACATTTCCAATCGTGAGACCATTATAGTTAATAATACTCCATTGGTAAATGAATTGTTTGATATACCTGAAGATAAGGGCTGTATTATTTTTTATGCCACTTATCGGATAGCTTAATTAAAAAACTTCGTTGGTCAAAAGCAGTTGTGGAGTGAGCAAAAGAAATTGCCACTTGTTGAACCCATGGTGGGATGCATGCCAAACGGATTTATACCACTTGTCTTGGGTCCATAACGATGCACAGATTTTGAATGATTGCTTTCAAAGATATGATGAGCTATTATTCATGCTTCATAAAAATGATGTTGTCTTAGTCGATAATGGATTTAGAGATGAAATGGACTTTTTAAAAGATGAAAAAAAGCTTAGAGTATATATTCCTTGAACTGGAGAACGCGATACGTATGAAGCTAATCTAGCCAGGTTTGTTACCAAGGTGCGATGGATAATTGAGCAAGTATTTGGGCGACTTAAAAAAAAAATTTAAGTGTCTTGCTGTATCAGCTCACAATGCCACACTGTCCTATGACTTTGATTACCTGTTAATTGCTTGCGCGTTATTAAATTTATTCCATAAACCAGTTCTATCTGATGATAAATATGAAAATGTTGGGAAAACTATAAAATCAAGATTGAATGTACCGAATAAATTGAAAGTAGTTGTCACTGATCTTAATCTTTCTCAATAAAGAGTTTCATTCGATGACACTTTTTTCACTTCTTTGGATAATAAAGAAAATAATTCGCTAATGCAGTTTCCTCAGATTTCATTGGACAATTTGTATGAAGTTTGCCTAGGCCCTTATCAATTAAAAAATGCCATGTCATACTACGCCAAACATATGGCGGAAGATATATTTTCAGTACAGAAATTCAATCCTAATGCAAGACATAGAACCGCAGGCTTGAATTTTTCTAAGTATGGCATTAACGTTATCAATCTACTGCTCGTGAAAGCACATATGAAATCTCGCTATAGAAGTGGAAAAAGCCATTATATTTTTGTACTTGTTGATTGAGCTAAGAGAGGTAGACTTGCTGTCGTCGAATATTTTTGCACATGTGAGAGTGGTTCACGGACAGTTGGATGCTGCAGCCACATTGCTACTATTATATGGTACTTGGGATACGGTCAATATAATGTCATAAGGGTTCCTAACCCAGGTATATTGAATGTCTCTATAACTATAGAAAAATAAAGCTTTGTAGTTTATGACTTTAAAACAAAATTTTGTTCTGATTATTTTCAAATGAAATTATTGATTAGGCATATTGAATTTTGCACACCTGACTTCAGATGCGTGATCAGCGACTATAAAAACTTATCTGAAGGTGATTTTAGAGTTTTTTTACGATTCGTTTAGATTTGACCTTCAAATGACCTTGAACCATCCGTTAAGAAGGTCATCTGACCTAGGATTCGGAATCAGTGACCCAAAAAAACATAATCATATAGTGGTTTGGTAAGCTACGCGAAAACACTTTTCATTTTGTGAGACTCACTGTAAACCTGATTTATGCGGTCATTAGTAATATTTCAATATCTTCTACCTCCTATATCTAAGAAACCAAAACTGGTCCCCTCTTAAAAATTTACGAGGTGAATGTTCAAACACTAAAAAATGATTTGATAAACAATTTGGGACGATTCTCAAGGTTGCAAAAACGGGCTTATTTCGAGCTATTTTTGGAGTCACTCTTTTTCAACCGAATATTGAAATAGTATTATAAAAGGTCTTCCACCTCATGACTTACGTTTTAATGTTGATGTTATAGTTACATTAATATGAAATTAAAACATGCTTTTTATGACTATCAATAAATTTTTATGTCAAAGTTGTAATGCCTTAGGATTATACCTTAAAAAAATCATTATTTTCTTATGGACAATTGTACATTGCAATATCAAGACTTAAGAACCCAAAAAAAATTAACATTCAAATGAAATCTGAACACAAATTTGAAATTGTAAATATCATTTTAAAAAAATTTCAATAAAAAAAGTTATTGTGAGAATCTAATAGTACAAACAAAGTAAACTGATGATTTTATATTTATTTTTACTGTAGTTTTTTTTTTCAAATAGGCAATATCCATTATTTTATGAAAATTTTACAGTCAACTTAAAATTTTAAAAAAAATCAAAATACCTTTTTCGTATGTGTTTTTTTCAGAAACATCATCATGGATATCAATTTTTATTGGTGGACCAAATTTTAACTAAAATTAAAAAGTACACAAAATCTATGGATTCATCAACTAACTTATAAAAATAAATTTTTTTATTCTGATTCGTGTAATTCATTCGTGTACAACATTTAACTTTCTAATATGTAAAAAATCTTTTAAGTGAAGTTATTACTGAAGTGAACACAAGACACATCATTAAGAAAACTTTCATAGAAAAATTTTTCGAAATTGTTGAAAACCAAACGTAAGAGCAGAAGAATTAAAACAACATTTACAAATACGTAACAGAAACAAAAAATGCTAATAAAATACCTCGCCCCCAACATTTTTTTATTGGAACTTCACTACCCCGTTGGTCTCCTCCCTCCACAAACTAAGGGACGTGTGTCGTTATTCCCTCTAAACAACTTTGATTCGTCCCTTCCTACAGCCCGACACATTTTCAGTCTAAAATCTCTATATCCTCTTGCCCCCAAAAAATATGACTGGAAGTACAAAAGTTATAATAAAACAACATAGCTACCATTGAACCGTTTTTTTAACAACTCTGTAACTTATAAACTGACAGAATAGAACATTTTAACATTATTAGTTTAAGATACATGTGTGTATGTCGTGCGCGCGCATGTGCGTATATGTATGAAATAGTGTACAATAATTTTAAGTTAACCAATATCTATTTTTGTTTTATATACATACAGTTTATTTAAAATAAAATTACAAGCGTACAAATATGTTAAATAAGATATTGTTGTTGACGAATATATAAAAATAAATAAATGAACATTCAGCCTAATCAGGAATCGCCAATGCAAAGGTATGCTTGTATATCCAGTAAATAGGTTTGTGTATTTACTTAAGCATACAAATTTGAAAGGGTAGAAAGCAGACAATATATTGTTATCCATGTGTTGAAAAATATTTTTTTAATTTTCAATCATATTATTTCAAAGCTTCATCCCAAACACTGTGTTTTGTCTCTTTACGATTGTTTAATTCATTTTCGATAAAAATGAATGGGATTTTCATATCAATATAATGCAAAATATAATTGACTGTGAGAAAACAATGTTTTTTTTTTTAATGCAAACCTTAATGCCTGTCCATACCATAAATAATAACTTTTTTTGTACCTTCTGGAAAAAAGTAGTGGATCAATGTTTTATATTAAAATGCTTAACTGAATGTGTTGAATTATTAAAACTTACACCTTCTACATAAATCCATCATTAATCTTGATTTAATTGAAAAGAAGAAGTGGTATAAATAGATTGAATGTACCGAATAAATTGAAAGTAGTTGTCACTGATCTTAATCTTTCTCAATAAAGAGTTTCATTCGATGACACTTTTTTCACTTCTTTAAAAAATTCGTCCAAGTGTGTAATAGCTTGATCTTCATTATTTTAAGAAAAATCTTTTATCAACAAAACTTTTTAAATTTATTTTGGATTATTTTTCCTTTAACTTGTTCTCACATTAGAAATAAAGCAAAATATTTTGTTGTTAAACAAAATTGGATAAAAAGCAAGATCGAATTTGATGTCAAATCATGGGTCGATTCACTACATTTAAAAAAATTATGAAATATAGATAAGTCCAAAACGGATTAAGTACAAGAACGTCGTAAGCAAAACATGGCATAGTTTAAGAATCCCGTTTTATGGTGTAGTGTCATTGTAGTACAATTTAAGAAGTACTTTAATTAGAAAAATGTTATGACGGAATTTTTCGTTTGTATTATATTGAAACATTTCAAAGAAACCTAAATATTTATGATTATATTACATACATAAAACCAGCCATTCACGTTACTTTATATCTTGTGGTTAAAATATATCAGGTGGTTCTAAGGGCAAAGTAAGCAGGAAA